CGTTCCTTGTCTGCAAACCTGTCCTCCAGGGCCTGCAGAAGTTTGTCAGCGCCCAGTGCCAATGCCCAATCCTCCAAAGTTTGAGTCTGGGCACTTGCTGTAGAGGTAGCCCATTTCTGGGCTGGCCCCTCCAGCAGTCCCACAACCGTTGCCACCTTCTGCTGCTCTGGGAATTGGAACCCTTTGAGATATGCCCGGCTCCCAGCTGCCTAGTCCCCAACATCAATCTTGGGGTCATCCCCCTTGAATTTGCTGGGGGCAGGGATCTTGGGGCCTCGTGAGTCCCCAACAACAACAGCAGCAAAGGTGGGAGGAGTGGTGGCTTTGGCCTGGGAGGAGACTGAGGGAGAAGAGTTATGAGAGTGATGGGAGGAGCCAGGAGGTGAAGAAGGAGGAGGAGAAGACTGCTTGGGCTTTGGTGAGGGTCCCACAGGGACCAGTGGACTGATGATGTTGGCTGCTGTTAACTGAGCAGTCAAGTTCTGGATTGAATCCAGAATCTTTGTTTGCTGAGTTCCCAGATCAGCCACACGAGTCTCCAGTCTCTGGATCCTCTCATCCCAGTTGGTGAAATGGCTGGCTGTCAATTTGTCTTGCTAAAGTACCAGCTCAGCCAGGTCTCTGGTGCACTGGGCCACCCTGGCATCAGCAACAGTCTTTTCTGCTTGCTGCAGCAGATGCTCCTTTCTGGAAGCATCTGTTGCAGCCTCCAGTTCTGCAGCCTCTTGCCTCTCAGCTTCTGCAAGAAGTGCCTGCTGCTCCTGCAGTCTCTCCTGTATCTCTCTCTTTCGCCGCCGCGCAGGGGTCAGAGGAGGGGGAGGAGGTGTTGTGGCTGAGGGTTCTCCTTCAGCCTTGATCACGACCTCAACCTTCCCTGCACCTGTGTCAACTGCGTCAAACATTTTCCCTCACAGAACAACAACGAAATCCAAAATGGAACAGCAAGGGGTGCAGCGATTTACAACTCACTCAGACACTCAAATTTCGCTGCACTGTCAGTTCACAAAGAGATGTGGGTTAGTGGGCACAAGTGGTTAGGGTTGGAATAGGACCACTGGGGTCAGCAATCAGGGTGACGGAATGTCCAGTAAAATCATGCACTAATGATTTCCTATTCCTGACACTGAACTTTCATTGGAGTTGCAAAGTGCACTTTCACAGCATCCCAGGAGTCACAAATATTCCAGAGCCCATCAGAAAGCAAAGCGCATCAGTAATATTGATGGACACAGGTAAGAACTGACTGAGACACACCAACAGCTAGTAGCGATTTAGTAGACTACACCCTGACAGCCCCAAACTCCAATTTCGCCACTGTTGACATCAACAGAAATAACCCCAGGTATGGCGATTTTTCAGAATTACTCTGTTATCACTCAAATACAGTGTTTCTGGACTAACGATTTAGCACAGATGCTAAAAATAGAATTGCGATTCACCCCAGACTGACAAACTTGAATTCTGACGGTCAGATTTTGAGTTATGACTGACCCTAGGTAGCCTGAACTATAAATAGACTCAGCGCAAAACTCAAATCCACAGTATCACTACCTTTTCAGTACAGAATTCAAAGAATGAACATACAGGATGCAGCGCAATACTGTCAGGCAGTCCCAGAACAATTTGGAGTCAGAACAGGTCAATAGATGGAGAGATATGAGTTAGGGTAGGGAGGAAGAAAGTGGATATGGCTGTCTTGCAGTCTGACAATTTCACAATTGTTACACTACTGAGAGACAGACCATCAATCCTACTTCTACTGATGCTTATCTAATCGCTACTCAGGGATTCATATGGAACAAACTCACTTAAAGTATTTCCCTCCATGGATGATGAAGCTTTGGCTATGGCTGCCAAGCCCTGATCTCTCCAGTCCTTGCAGACAGTCTTCCAGAGCTTCCCACGTACAGAATCTCCTGAAACTTGTTGATCATGCCCAGCATGATGTGGCGACTTACCCCCAACACTCAGATGTACTGAATCCGCCTTAGTGGCGAGGGAAAACTCTCCTGAAGATATCTCGCCACTGCAGGGTATGAGCCGCTGGTGCTAAATTTAACCCTGAGTAGGGTTAATTTAGCAGGAGGTGATCCTGCGATGAATCCTCCCTCAGCGCTACACTGGGATTGAAGCCGTCATCCAGTAATCACTGGATTAGGGTATAATTCGCCACCCTGATCCCAGTCATCAACTGAGGTCAGTTGGGTGGATGGCGAAATACCCCTGTTCTCGCCACTTCCTGTCAGGCACTCAGACAGGCTGAGGGTGCCTGATCAATCGCAAACTGATATACTGCAATCACTGCCTGTAGATCTTCTCTTCCACTGGATCTTTACTGGAGACAAAGAGCCGCCATGGCACTTCTCGCCAGTTAAGGCCAGAAAGAGAAGTTGCCCCTGTTGCGCTCAACCCTCTGGGCTCCAAGTCCAATCTCCGCTCCGATACCAACTGTTATGAACTTGGTTGTTTGACACTTGGATTGCCACTCACACCTTACAGAACTCACACATGCCCATACATGCACAAGTCAGGGGGAGGAAGAGA